ACAAACCAGAACTGCAAGAGGAGCTCCGTTGAGTTCCTCGGCGACAGGCTCCGCCCACAGGAAACTCTCCTCTCGCTCTTCATCTTGATGATGTGTGGACAGACAGGGGGAGGGAGCTGGAACCGGTTCTAAACGGCACTGTAGATTTGTGGAACCTCACCCCTGCCCTCGGGTAAATTGCCTTGAGTACAGTAAAAGGCATGGTATGTATTTAATACACAAGAATGACAAGAACTGCAACAGGAAAAAAGAGGGGAAGAGAAAGTAGTATTAGAAAAGAAAATAATTAATTAATTAATTATTAATAATTCCAGAGGGAATGATTAACCGCACCCACTTTGGGGTCTACTTGTTCCGTCTACTGTTGGCATGAAACACCCAACAATTTATTTGTAAGGGAATGTGGTTCTTGATAAAATGAAGTGGTGACCTTTGTTCGCGTAATAAGCTCTACTCTTGGGAGGTGAAAATGCATCATCTTGAATATTTTATAACCTTGCATAGCAGAATGCTGAGCCAAAAGATCAGTAATGACAAGCAAGTTGAGTTTCTGGGAAATTCCTTTATTGCTGATTTTTCTTAAAAGTGGAGCAATCGTCAAACATTTGGCAGAAAAAACACCAATGTTTCTTAAAATACAACTTTGAAATCACTTAAAAATAAGAAGAATGGGAATGATGTAATCTACTTTAAAACCAAATTTTGAACAAAATTACAAAAAGGTGTGTTTTTCAGAATTCTTCTCTGCATTAATGCACCACGCAAGCAAAAAACAAACAAATGCAAAATAAGGATAGGGAAGAAAGTGTTTGTGTTATAGAACATGTTAGTGCAGAATAATGGAAAGTTGTTGATTTAAGACAGGGTTGTCCAACTCCCAGCAGGCAGGCCACATATGTCTTGCGCTGGCCACGCCCACACCTAGTTTAGCGAAGGGAAAAAAGTCCTGATACGTCATGTGACGCCACCATGATGACATGAGTTTGACACCCCTGATTTAGGATGCTTTCCATTGACTGTTCATTAAGTTTGCACTTAGTGCTGTTGTGTTTCTTTATATCCAAACATAAATTGGATATAGAATAATTACTATTCTAGTCTTAGTTAACTTTGGTTTCAGCATTACTCTCTAGAAAGAAAGAAAGAAAGAAAGAAAGAAAGAAAGAAAGAAAGAAAGAA